GGGGGGGGGGGGTGCTGCCCAGGGGTCTGGTGGTGAGAGAGGGTTTTAATTTTATTTCTCTCACATGCTGTAACCAGCACATTCTACTCTCCATAAATGAACTTATTTCTGAAAACTCTGAAGACAGTAAAAAATATATAATGTTAAAGAATGTTAAGAAGTCTTTTTCTTTGACCCTGATCAAATGCACAGGATGTCAAAAGCAGCAAACACTTCAAGCTGCCACACTGCAGATGCCAGCCTGTTAGCAGCGTATTCTAGAAAGTTCACAAAGTGTTTATCCTCTGCTTTTTCTCTGGCAGCCCCTCTCCATTACCATCTCATCATGTTTTCTCTCTTGTGGGATAGCAATTCGTCTTATTACTTTCCGAGTGATCTGTAGGAAGCAATAGTGAGATTTTTCTGTTTCTGTTTCAAGTGGTGACACTACAGCAAACAGTAGAAAAATCTAAATCCCAAGAGAAGTGTAAAATCCCAATGATGATTACTTTTCTGGTGATGAGGTTGCCTTCTTCATCAGTAAATTGTTCTTCTGTGACAGATTCACCAGGAATGCTTTTTGCTTCCTCTCCCTAAAGGATGTGGCATAGAGATTAGCAACATACTAGATGGACAGATCTCCACAGCACTCCATAGGCCACACACATGCTCTGCAGAGTTTTAGAGAAAGAAAGTATAAATTCTGCTTGCTACTCCAGGGCAAAGGGAAAAGGCTGACTCCTCTAATGGTTACTTAGCAGGCCACAACAGTCAAAGCAGTAAGCCTTAGGTATGTACAAGACTGACGGTGAGCAGGCAACTCCAAGGAGGAAAAATTATAAAACACAGTTACACAATGCTATATAAACCAAAAGGTTTCATTTTTTGAAGAAAAAAAAAAAAGTCAATGATTACAGCTCTAATTAGATCGCCTCATTTTGAGCACTGTGTTTCTGAATTAGTCCTACCAAATCTCTAAATAATTTTTAGGTTGTGTTTTCCTTAATCTAAATTAAGATAGTACCTTAGTTGGGGCATTACATTTATTGTCTTTTATTAGTTTTTTTTTTTCATTTAAAAATTCATTTAGTAAGGGTAAGATAGACTTTTTTTAAAAAGTGAAGTTCAGAGTACAGACAATATCTTGTTTTTCTTTAAAACTGAGCTTTTTGGAGGTATTAAAATGAGCATAACTATGTCTGATGGTGTACACAATTTCTGAATACTATCTTCAAGTGAAGGGGTTTTATGTGATGATTGATCATCTAATCTCTATTGCCACAGACAAAAAAAAAGAAAAGAAAAGATCAGTACTAAAGGAATTTAAGATGATGATATCTTTCAGTTAGTGACTGTTATCTGATTTACAAGGGGAAACTGTCAAAGATCTTCCTCTGGTGAATTTAAAAAATGGAATAAACTCTTAACTCCCCAAGTTGGGCTCATATTTTCCAGCTTGGTAGATTTATATGGCTCCTTAATATCTCCCTTTTTGGCTCTATGATTGTACAATAAGAAAAACCAGGGACGCCTGGGTGGCTCAGTTGGTTGGGCATCCGACTTCGGCTCAGGTCATGATCTCACAGTTCGTGGGTTCGAGCCCCGCATCGGGCTCTGTGCTGACAGCTCAGAGCCTGGAGCCTGTTTCAGATTCTGTGTCTCCCTCTCTCTCTGCCCGTCCCCCACTCGCACTCTGTCTCCCTCTGTCTCAAAAATAAATAAACATTAAAAAAAAAAAAAGAAAAACCACTCAGAGAGCAAAAATGGGGCTATATATGCAATATATAACCTTCTTCACTGGTATTCAACATTCAGTTAGTGCCACTTAGTTTGGGGGAACAAGGACAAACATCTTAAGTGCAGACCTACTCTACAGACCTAGTGACCTGCTAGTCAGACTTCTTGGTGAAAAGGTGGCTGGGACAATGCTGTAGAACAATGTACTGTAGTTGTTGTTCACCTGATGTTATTTTAGGGAAAATGGCAGATCACGAAGTTGACAGCTACATTTCTGGGAGAGCCAGGATTCTAACTCTTGCAGTGTTGTTGGGCTGGAATGGGTAGTAGCTCTGATAATTTTGTCAGCACCAGCCAATGGTGAGAATGTTCTATGACTGCTTTATGTCACAGCCAGTAGAAAGGCAGAGCCGGTTTAAAATGACAGGGTAAAGACTAAAACATTACCTTGTTTTGCTGCCAAAATTGTTTTTCATTCTTTTCTTTTTACAAAATGACTTTGTATTCTTCTAGATTATGGGCTCATAGCTCATGACTGGGTGAGACATGGGTTCATTTTCCTCACTGTGGTAGAGAGGGAGGGAGTTGGGATGAAAATAAAACATGATGTTTCTTGCTGCTCATGTTTAGCTCCCTTTGGCTCTTGCTTATGATTTGCTTCAATTAGCACAGTTAAGAGAGGGAAGGGGATTGGAAAAATGTAGAGGGAGGTCTCATGCTTAAATGCACTAAAATCTGCAAAAAGTTTTTTATGGAAGTGTTATTTATATTTCCTGTGGGTGGTTTCACATATTTTGGGAAAAAAAAATGAATTTCATTTTATTTTGAAAACAAAGGCATAAAGAAGCAGAAAAGCCAATAATAAGAGGTGATGAAAGATTTCATTACAGCTTAAACATGAAAAAATGAAATGTTTTTGAGCTAGTTCTGGGAAATGTCTGGTGTTTTGCATAGTAGGTAATTTGAGGATCCCAGGAAAATCCAGTAAAGTAGAATCCTATTGGATACATTATGAATGGACCCTTTTGTGGGGAAAGATGCCAGTTAACTGTTTGGAAAGTCTCTGACAGAAATGTGAAAGAAGGTATATTTATAAATATAGTGAATAATAGAAGTAAATGGATTTATATTAATAGCCTTAGAAAAAATTAAAGTCCTACTTCTAAATAACAAGCCATAGAAGTTGTTTAGATCTAGTCTGGCATGTAGGCATTTTCATTGTTTCCTACTGAAAACCCATACTGTTTATGTATAGCTAAAGATAAAGATACCTCTCTTAACCATAATTGGCCATTAAATACAGTCAATTAGTGCTTTAATAAGGCCAAAGTAAGTTGTGTTATGATATAGAAACTCACTAAATTGGGGGAGATTAGTTAGGAATCCATTAGATAAAGAGGGAAGACAGGAGTCAGGAAACATGTTCTTAAAAAAAAAATCGTCCATCTTTAATGACAGAAAATAACCTCTAATTAGTTCCTAAAGTTCTAGACAACAGTTTGTACCTTTAAGTAGGCAAAATTTCCCCCCTGGTCTTGTTGATGGCATTATTTTTGGCAACACCTCCCCCCCCCCCCCCCCCCCCACTTTTTCCTTTCCTACTTCAGAGGAAAATCACAGCACATATGGTGTCACAGTATCATCCCCAGTGGCCACCTTAATGTAGACTAGCTGTACTTCCCTTTGGACCTCTGCTAGAGGCACTGCCTTTTATAGCTTTTATTCCTCTGTCCTTGAATAAAAGGAAAGAAAACCAGTACGAAATGTACCAATTTGTCTGATGTATAGAACATTAAAACTTTAGCTTTCTCCCCCAAGTGGAAAGGATACCATGTATGTGACATATATAACTTTGCAAGTTATTAAGCAGTAAGTGATAGTATAACCCATTTTTATATTCTGAGAAACTCAATTCGGGGAATGTGTGTTTACATGTATATAAAGTGCATGTACATTTTATATACATATAAATATATGTACATCAAAATAACCTGAAGCTCGTGAAAAGTGGTTACCTCTGGGAAATGGAAAGAGTAGATCAATCTTTCTATACTTTTGAGTTGCTTGATTTGGGGAAAACATATATGTAAACTTAATTCAGAAGTTAGCAAAAAGTTCAAAAGCAGAAATAAAAATACAGTTGAACTATGTAATAAAAATTCAGTTATTTGAAGCCTACCAAACTTCACAATAGTTTGGCTGCGAATTAAAGTTTTTACCTTTGTAATCACTGTCTTTGCTAAGCGAATAAAATAAACAAGCTCATAGGACTGAGTAATTTACTGAAACTCCTTCGAAGCATTTGAAACAACTGTCATATTATCAAATTATACAGAAATAAATTAATATGCTTATAAAATCTAAAAGTCCCCACACAATTGGAAGAGTTTGTTGGACTTATTCCTTAGAGACTTGAATACAGTACATGTAAGAAAAAAATTAAAAAAAGAACTTCATAAAAAATGGATGAACCTGCATATGACATTACAGAGACAAATCATAAAATTATACTTTCACCCCATCAGTTGTACAAATTTTATGGCTAGGAAGACAGATTCACCCACACTTGTAATGGAATCCTGAGGACACCTACTGCTTATGTGGACACTGCATAGCCACAGCTAGTCCTGGGAGAGATGGAACAACCCCACAATAGTTTTCAACTCCGAGATCCTAAATGTTAGAGGGATCACTATGGCAAACAGCATAAATATGCTGGTTCAGCCCAAGGCTGGACAACCTCCATGAAGCAGGCCAAATTCTCAGCATTCCAATCCCATCAGATAATTTCCAGGAGAGACAGCCCACGGCTGCCCTCTTCCAGGCCGCTGGAAAGGTTTAAGTGGCCAAATGTCTAATTTGGTCTATAAGAAGCTATTCCTTTTTTATTTATTCTGGAGAACACAGTGTTGTGGAAAAAGCAGGTAGAAGGTGCTGCACTGGAGGGCTCGAGATTAGGTTTGGGGTTGGGGCCTTCCAGAAGTGCTACTCTACTGGAGTGTGATTTGGGCTAAACCAACCACTCTCCAGTCCCTTGGTTTTGTCACCTTGGAAAAGAAGTGATTTTAGTATCAATGATTCCTTTCCATCCTAACATTCTCCTTTCATGTTTTTGACAGAGGCAGTTCCCACATCCCAGTTACCGTATATGACGGCAGTTTCCAGCTTTTATCTCAGAAAGATACCAACACATGAAGAGAAAAGCAACAGAAATGTGATCCTTTCTAACTGCCCTGAAACTCTGAACAGAAAAAGAGTAACCAGAAAGATTCTTATACATGTAATTTATAAAGATTTTTATTATATCTATAGTTTTCAATTATAATTATAGCTATTTTTTTTAGGTTTTGGTTTCTCCAAATTTGTTGAGTGACTCTATTGTGTACACAATGCACTCCCCAGTTATAAAACCTATGCTCTGATCATTCCAACTCAACCTCCCTAAAATTAAACTTCAAGAAGTAGGGATTTGAAGAGAACACAGACTCCTCTGTTTTATGAAGCCATCATAGCATAATTTCGTCTTTTAAACTTAAGCCCTTAATAAAAATGTTTATATATCACACACGCTTAATTTTATATTAAGCTCAAATATATAAATAACACACTCTAACAAAATTACTTAAAAGCTAGCTTGCTAATGCATATCTAGAATTCTAGACCAAGTGAAATAACCCTCATTGATTTGATGGGTTTTGTGTTTTTATTATTTTGTTTTTGTATTCTTTAGAGTAAAACTTCTTTATCCTCTCTCTCTCTCACTTTTTTTGCAGGATTATGTTTATTTTCTTCTGTCCTATATACAGGAGAGTCAACTCATATAATGAGCAGCTTTTAGAAGGAGTGAGGTGGATTTGGAGGTGACACCAGTATGTCATATATTAGCATAAAAAGCCAGTTACAAGACAATATGTTTGGTGTGCTTTTTCAGGACATTTCACTTTAAAATATCATTTCTTGAAGACACTGATTCTGGGAAGAACAAAGCCTGACTGAGCAAAGAGTATGGCTTTAACTCCTTCAGAAAACCTGTATTATTTCTTTCCTCCTAATCCCAGGGAATGTGTGGGAGGTGAATACTTGCAAATATGCTGGATATACTGGACACCCATAAGTAATTTGGCTTGCCTATATGGACTTTTCAAAGTGATTCGTGCTTTTTTTTTTTTTTTTTTTTTTTTTTTTTTTTTTTTTTTTTTTTTTTTGATAGCTATCTATTGAGCTCATGATTGATTTGTGCATAGTTTAAGATTCAGACAAGGACCTATTTTCTTCTCTAATGCTTCCAGAGTCTTAGAAAAACTATACTAGAGCAGATTTGGCAGATTTTGTCCTCTTCTTTCATCTGATCTACATGAAAAATACAAGCAGCAGGATTAAAAAGTTTTAGATACCTAAGCCAACTTCTCTGCTCTCTGCTGGGCCTCCTGACACTTTGGAAAGGGAGGATAAATTTGATAAATGGTTTTCAATACATATTTCCCTTCCTTTCTTTCTCTCCAGAGCTGTCAACCAAGGAGCCTCAAGTTATTTGGACCACCTTCAAAGGCCTGTGTGTTGAAAATGGCTTCCTAGTTTCTGTAGTCAATTATTCTAACATCAAGAAATCTCTCTCTAAAGAGAGTAATGAAGACAAGCACAGGCTGTGAAAAGTGTTCTGCTGGACCTTACCATGCATACAGTCAGTGCTTCAAAAGGCCTTTGTGGGGGGAAATGAAGGTTTATTCATAGTGTTCAACTGTGTTGTAGCAGGGGGAGAATGATATTTTTCACTTCCAGTAAAAACTGCTTCATATATATAAAAATACAGACTGATTTTCTATATGTTAGTCAAGTCAAAAGCCTTTTTTCAGAAGGTTTTGCCCAATTTTGTTTGTCACATACATCCATGCCAGGCTATTACTCCAAATTCTCAGCCATCGTTTGGTATTAAAGAACTTGTTTTGGGGCGCCTGGGTGGCGCAGTCGGTTAAGCGTCCGACTTCAGCCAGGTCACGATCTCGCGGTCCGTGAGTTCGAGCCCCGCGTCGGGCTCTGGGCTGATGGCTCAGAGCCTGGAGCCTGTTTCCGATTCTGTGTCTCCCTCTCTCTCTGCCCCTCCCCCGTTCATGCTCTGTCTCTCTCTGTCCCAAAAATAAAATAAACGTTGAAAAAAAAAAATTAAAAAAAAAAAAAAAGAACTTGTTTTTACTTAAGATCTATCTGTTCAGGCAGTAGGAATTTGAGGCTGAGGAGGGGAGCCTTTTAATTATTTCATTCTCCTTCTTGACCTGACCTCATACCTCACTGTGGCCTCGGAGGTTTCGATTGAACATTTCATTTGATATAAACCAAGATAAAATCTTTGTTCACATATAACACTTTGAGGGAAAGCAGGATACAAATACCAAGAATTCCCAGACAAAATTACAGCTGTCACATGTCAAACACAGGCCTAGACAGAACACTCACTACCATGCAACACAACCTTTTCCTTGTTGCTGGTTGTTCTTACAAGCTTTCAAATATGCAAAGAAACATACACAGAGCCACTTAGTTATCAAGCATGCTAAATTTTCAAGGCCACAAGGAAGGACTTTCTAATCACATAGCGATGCCCCATCACCATCCGGCTACAGGATACCTTTATAATCAAACGCCGGCGAATAACTCGGGTAGTGACTCTCCGTTCTTCCTCTGAGTTCGAATCACTCTCACTGTCTTTCAAGTCCTGATAAATGCATTTTTTAGTATAATAATTTTACCATCACATTTAAAATAAAAGACATTCTGAGAAGGGAAATCAAAAAAGAATTACTTTCACTTGCTGGTTTTCCCTGCTAAGGAAAATCATGATATGTATTTGTGAGAATCTTTAAAAAAGTTTAGATGGAAGAAAATTTTGAGCAGGATTCTAACTGAAATTCCTCTGTATATGTGTGTATATATGTGTGTGCATATAATAATGGATATATTTAATTACACTGATCTGTATGTGCATATATATGGTAAAGATCAGTGTAATTAAATAATAAAAATAATAATAAGAGATATTTTGGCATCAGAAACTATATGCTACCAATTATTAGTTTGAAGAAAAATTAATATTCATTTAAAACTAGTTTGAAACCTATATTCACTTGACCTTTCATTAAAGAGGTATAGTATGTCTAGTTTCAATGAAATTTTGGTCAGATTTGACAACTTTATCAAAAGCTATTTGAAATTTATAAAAAAGTAAAGAATTTACATCAGTATAATTTGCTACATACATTTATAACAGGAATTTTTAGCAGTATAATTGGCACCTAACATGCAACTCGTACTCAGTAAGGGTTTATGCAAATGAATGAAAGAATAATATAAAACATGTGAAAGCTTGGAGTCTTATTTTAAAGAACTGATGTGGAAAAAAAAGGAAAAAAGGGGCACCTGGGTGACTCAGTCAGTTAATAAGTGTACGACTTCAGCTCAGATCATGATCTCATGGTCTGTGAGTTTGAGCCCCACGTCAGGCTCTGTGTTGGCCAGTTCAGAGCCTGGAGCCTGCTTCAGATTGTGTGTCTTCCTCTCTCTCTGCCCCTCCCCTGCTCTGTCTCTCTCTCTCTCTCTCTCTCAAAAATAAAGATTAAAAAATAATTTAAAGAATTGATATGAAATTAGGACAGAAAAAACACCTGACAGACAAGAATATGGCATAGACAAGAATACAGTAATTGCACAAATATTAATTTTTAGGCAATGAGAATGAAGAGGAATTACCACATAGTTCATAACTCAAAGGAAAAAATATCTTCAGTTTCTACTGCAATGTCATGGTGAACACTATTTACTGAATGATTTTATTTCAAAATTTAATGGTGGAATTCTGATAATAATTCTGGTATTTTGTTTTCTAAGTTTGCTAGTCACCCTGAATCTGATAGTCTCAGAGATAGAAACTATAGTTAATATCCATTGGAAAAATCAATGGCAGTGTTGGCATCAATAGGGGGGAAAAAGTAAAATTGTTACAGGAGGTATCAGTGTTAGCTAATGTGATTTATGGAATGTTTCTCAAATAGATAATAAAGTAGGCCATTTTCCACCAAAGGTATAGTTAACAAATATTTTGAAATATTATAGTAATATCAATCTTGACTTTGTAAGAAATTTCATTTGAACAAAATACCCTACTAAATAACATGGTGTCAAAAGGAAAGAGTTTTCAAGTTCCTTATTCCCTGCAAAGATCTACTGGCTGCTAAGTTTCTTATGAAATTTGAAGTTTTTTTGAAAAGACCGTAAATTCAGAAAACTTAGAAGGATCCAAGTATTGTGAAAGAAGGCCCTGAAATGGCTCAAAGAAGCAGAAAAAGGGAAGGAGTTCCTATTGTGGGAAAAAAAAAAGAATTTCTAATTTGCATTCAGAGATCAGTAGATTAGATGAAGAAAAGAGAAAAATTCAATCAGAATTATTCATAAATAATTACGGATCGTAAACTGGGGAAGATTTTCACTTGGGTAAATTAAAAAGCAGAACATACATTAATGCAAACACTACCAAGCCTAGATGTCAAGTATGTTATAATTGACATAATTATAAAAATAGAAAGGGGCCATTCGGCCTGTGTTTTGTTTCCACATTCTCCCTGCTAATCTGAAGGTGGAGGGTAGAGAGAAGATGTAGTAGAATCTCGATCAGGATTCCCTTTAAAGAATTCTCTAGAATTGGCAAAGAGGGTAACTAGGAGACCAAACAATTTTCTTAGTACTTCTTGCCATGGGTCACTGCTTTGAAAGAGTTGGAAAGTAGCAGAAGTTTACCTTGTAACAGCAGGCAGTCATCCGTGTAAGAACCGCACCCGGACTTTTGACCTGATTTTTTAGGGGACAAAAAGGGGGCTGTTTTCTGAGATCATACATCAGATGACTTAGTTGGTTGCTAATGCACTATGGTCTAGCCACAAAGGGCACATCCTGAACATTTTTGGATTTCTTGTAAGCTTGGGTTCTTAGGGAATCTACTTAGACCAATCCCAAAAGCACAATCTCATTTATAAGAAACCTTGAAAACATTTTCTAATAGCAATTATGTTCCAGTACTGATGAACTCAACTGAGTTTCCATTCAGGGTTAAGGCTTTCATTTTCAAACCCTCTTTTGCCCTCTCCCTGGTTCCCCAATGGCCAATGTGTTTGCATGTGTACATATAAGAAGTGTTTATTTACAGGTATATGATCATTTGATTTCAGACCTTTTCTATGGATTTTAATAGGCTTTATAGAATAAACTTTCATAGTTAAGACATCACTATGTTATCACTTCTTTCTCTATTTTGTGGACTCATTTTAAAAGGGAACATCCAAGGTCGCACTGCGTAAATATACTAGAATGAACTGAAAGAAATCAATATTCAAAACCCATTTGTCGGGAAGTGAAAGGAAGGCCTTAGCATTTTACTTCCCCTCACTTTCCCTCCTAACATGCAGGAAAATGGTCAAAAGATAGCCTGCAGAAGGGAAAAGGAAAGGATATGATTAGTTGATAAGCTGATAATTAGCTCCTGAGTGACTGGGAGTTTGCTATTAAAGTTTTTCTAAAGCAGGAGTTAATCATGGACTCAATATTTTACAAAAGACTTTTTTTTGTCCTACCTAAAACACTGCGGTAGATCTTAAGCCAACCTGATGTTTTAGGGAAAACTGTAGGTGCTACTGTTCCAAAGATCCCCATGTCTCAGTCTACGCCCACTGCGCAGTTCAGGAAAAGACACAATAATGGAGAGAGCAAAAAGCAGTAAAAAAAAAACGAATGTAGTAAATAGAGCTAATTTTTATTTTTTTATATCCATCTATAATTTCAGTTCTAAAGTTTTTAAGTTTTTAATATCTAAAAATGATAAACCTCAAAGAACGAATAAAAATCTATTAGATGGTACAAGAACACGGAGCACAAAGTGCAAATAATTCTGACAGTAAGGTTTTCAAATTTTTAAAAATGAATATTAAGATAATCATCAACTTAGATATAAAAATTATTAAAATGAGACCTCTAACTTCCAATTTCTAAATGCTGTCAACCCACCATGGTATATACCCACCTCATTTTAGGCTTGGGCACTATGTTTCTCCAATTTTTAAAACAAAACACACTTTTATAGGGTAGAGCTCTTAGATGGGTCACATGCTATAAACTCTTTAAATTATGCAGAACCACCAGAAAAGGTCTGAATAATTATCCCCCTTCCATAAGAAAGAAGACTGGGTTGGGAGTTAGGAAACCTAAATACCAGACCAAATTAACACTGGACCTTAAGCATAACATCTCTGTAGTTCTCCTTCCTCCTGAAAAATAGCTGAATTGATGCTGCTTGCTTTTGCCTTCTCAGTGAATGAAGGTGTAATCCAATAGCATATGTTCCACCTAGCACTTTGTTCAGCCCCTCCATTAGTGTTACATTTACAACTGGGTTATCATAAAGAACCTTGGGCTCAATGTTACAAGACTAATCAAACAAAGTGAAGCATCAGGACTTTTGGTTTAAATGACAGTGTACCGGATAACTAGATGGCATACCTTTTGCTCAGACCCACTGGACCCTTCTTCTTCGTGCAGGTTAAGCCTTGGCTTGCCATCTGCAGGGGAAGTCCTACTCATCTTTTTCATACTGACAGGCACACAGGGTTTAGGCTCTTCTATTACAAACTTGCTGGTTTCTTCTAGAGCTTTCTGATAGGCGGCTAGTGATGATGCTGGCTCCTCAACACGACCAGATCCATGGATTTTTGGTTTCAGAGTTTCCTTAGCGCTCTGTTTCCCTATATCATTTTGGGATTCTGGAAAGTAAGATTTTGTCTTTGCTTCTGCAGTGACTTCTGCATGGCTCCCATTTGCTTCAAATTTTCCAGGTTCTCCTTTGAGATATGAGGTAATGGAATCTCGACACTGATCAGGGCTGCAAAAGAGAAGATGTGGAAATTTACAATGCCAATACATGGCTGAAAGTGGGCTTCAGAAGCTCTAAAGTTTTCGCTAACATGTTCTAAACTACTCTTGAAGGCATAAAATAGAAAGACATGAAAAATATGGTCACTGGATTTCAAACTGTGAGGGTCTCTCATGGGTTTGGGTTTTGGGGTGATGAGGTGCTACACAGGGCCCCAGCTCTGCCCCGCCCAACCTGCCTAGCTATGCTGTCCTTGTTTTTGTTTTATTTTGTTTAATTGCACTGCGATAGCTACTTGGATTTGAGATCTCAGGAAGTCACCCTGGGAGGTTCATGGGCATACCTGGAGTTCCAGAACTGCCAATCTAAGGAGAAGGAGATCTCCAAAGGTTTTAATATTGCCAGTGAAAAAACTGCTGGCAGAGAACAAAATGCATTCCTTGAGAGACCTGACATCCCCAAGAACCCCATGTTCCAGTCTCTGTTTTTCCAATTGTGGGTCTTGCCAGCGTGCCTTTGCAAACCACGATAGCCTTGCTTGGGTCTCATCTTTCTTGGCTCCTGACCTGTGCTGACCCCCACTGGTGAGCAGGGTGTTGTTGCTTACCTGTTGCTTCTAGGTCCTGTGAGGACTATTTTCCTTTTAATGAACTATTACAAATCTTTCTCTTCCAACACTTTCTTTTAAAGTGACTTCTAATTTTTACTGGTATCAGTATGGGTTTTGTTTTCTAGCTTGTGCATTGTTTTTAGGGTCTTTGCTTATTATCTACAGAATTTGGAAGGCACTGATTAGTGCAATGCAATGTTCTTTATGTATTGTATATGTCTGTGAGTACGTGTGAATTCTTATAAATCAAATTGTGATTATATAAAAAAAAACACCTATCCATAGCACACTCTATTCCATATGTATAAGTACAAACAGTCCCAGCACACTGCAAAGATGCTGTAATGTAATTGTATCTATTTCCTGTTATGTAACTATAAATTAATGTGACTATATTAGAACACAGACATCAAAACTAGTACTATTTGTTGTCTTTGGTAGGGTGAGCACAGAACTCTTTGGTCTTATTCTTCAAAAAGAACTCTGTAAACTCCTTTTTTGCAAAATGTTACAAGCTCCCTCTTTGGGAATTTTCATTGAGCAAGAAGCTTTACCAGTCATATGAAAATATTAAACATGGTTATGAAATAAATTTAAATTGGATGCAAAAACACCTGAGGTTATCACTAGTTGCCACTGAAGTAAGTTATATTTTAGTCTGATGTATGAATAAATAAAAATAATGCCATCTATTACTGACAGACTATTTGTAGCAGCCATTTGGTAGCCATTCTATAGGCTTCCTTCTTCAATCTGTAAACCTGTGTGAGGAAAGTAGTAGTATTCTTATTTTTAAAGTCAGTTAAAGTGACGTTCTTACAGCTTAGAAATTCACCCAGAGTCACAAAATGCAAACCTAATGCCAGTGGGATTTGAACCAATGTCTGAAGGACACTAGACTCTTACCTTTCTAGAGGAAGTCCAGTATCAAAAAGAACCAGATTCATGATTAGGGAATTATTTTGGTTGTAATCAAATTTCTATCATGGCAATATGATTTGGAGTGAAGAATTACATATGACTTTTAAAGTCTGAAGTCAGGAAATCATAGAAAGGTTTGTATTTCTAAAAGACGTGGAGTTTTATTTACCCCATTATTTTGAAAGCATATTAATTACTAGCTTTGTGAAAAAAATCAGACAAGTCACAAACTAGAAAAGAGTAGTCTTCTAAAGTAAACACAGACATCTTTGGCATGCATGTAAAACTTTTTACATTTTGCTTCAGGCTATCAGTAGTTTTAAGAATTAAATTGAGTTTCGTGTGAGTTTCCCTCTCCAGATTAGCAGAATGAACCAACCTTTAAAGCAGGTATTATCCCCAAACTGGAATGGTAATTTAGAAAAAGAGTAAGTGCTAAAAAGTAGGTTTTAAAACAAACTATTAACATGTAATCTGTATTTCGCTTTCCTTTTTTCTGAAATGGAGCCATACCTGTCATCCAGTCTTTCTAGTAACCCACCGGTTAGTCTTCGAGCTTGAGCAGGGGACTCTAGGTTTCCACCTGATGTCTCGTTCTGCCAACCTGCAATTGAAGACATTTCCAGTTCTGCTTGCTGAACACGTTTAAGAATAGCCTGTACTTTTTCTTCTGTCATCTCCTCAGACTCTACGCCTTCTTCAAGTTGAATGTCCTCAAATAGAGATTTGAGTTTTTCTTCCGTCATCTCCTCATCAGGACCAGATTTTCCTTTCTCTTGCTGCTCAGAGCTTACTCTTACTTTACTAGTTTGTTTCAGTGGCTCTGCTGGTTTAACATCTTTTGGGACCCCAGCCATACTTCCGAGGTATTGAGGATACTCACTCAGACATACATTCTCCAACTGGCTCTCATCTACATCCACTGTGCCAGGCATTTCTGTTAAAGGCATTGAGTCTTCGAGTTTGCTGTCTTCTAAGGAAGTGTCTTCTGCAGTTACGACTGGAGGTCCTCCATCTGCTGAATGCTCTACGTTCCCCTGGGAAGGCACTAGCCCATCACTCAGTCTACTGGGGGTTCTAAGGGGAGACTCTATGCTAGAGATATCACTAAAATAATCATCTTGCTGGAAAGGGGTGGGTGGTGTGTAGTGCAACCCTGTGGGAGTTTCCAGTTCCACTTGAAGGGAAGGATAACCTATGGAAGACAGTACATTTGGACTGACTGGAATGAATTAGAGTACATCAAACAAAACACATGGAATGAATTAAATTATATCAGGTATGAAAATGTATGATGAATTACAGAACAATGTTCATAAATTTATTGGTTTAGTTCAACTAAATGTAACACAATGAAATAAAAGACTAGTGCAAACTATAATAAAACAGAACACTAATTAATTAAGATATAAATGGTTTCTATCAACTTTGATAATTTTAATACAGTAACTTAAATATACAGACTAATTCAATCTAATAAAAAGTTAGCTGTCGTTATATAAAATACATTTATTCCACGGTCAAATTTATTAGCTTTCTACTTTCAGCATGCAAAATCCATATGGTGGTGGACTGCATACAGCAAACCACAATTGTTATAATTAATTACTTATAACTCATTTGAAGAGCTTTACATAGGAGCAATGCTACCCGACTCTCATTCTTTTTCTTTTTTTTCACATGAAATTTACAGCGAAGAAAAATAAATTTAATCTTTGGAAAGAGATTATTATTAGACTTTAGAGCAATAGCACTGGGGAAAAAAAAGTCTAAAAAGATGTTAGGAAAAGGATTTGAGAAGCAGATAAAGTAGAAAAGACTCCAAGGAAAGCTTTCAGGTGTCATAATGTGACAGAGATGAAAGACTTGTGGTGCACATGGAGGTCTTAGTGACTTTGGTGATGCGGACCACTCAGAATCACAACTCAAAGAGAAAAAAGAAATGATACACGACAGAGACAGGAAGAAAGCCATTTGCAAAGAGCTCTCTGAATATTCACAACAACACTGTGAAACACCAGCCTGCTCAGTGGGGAGGTAGGGAGCAGTTCCCTTGTTTTAACCTTCGCTGTGTGGACAAAGGGGACATTTTTCTCCTTCAGCAGAGAAAGAAGTGAACAATGGTCTGGTCATGGTGAGGAAAGGAGGCTTCATAAAAGTTCCACCAAGAGGAGAGACAGGAAAAAAAAGGCAACCAAGCACACTTTCTGAATTAATGGTCTACAAAACTAAAGCCTAATTTTCCCATCAGTCCACGACAAATATCAACTTAGCTTTTGTGGGAAATTCAAATTACTGTAGGTAAGTATAGTCACCTATAAACCAGAATCTTATTGAAAAGTTGGCTGACATTAACTGAGGTTCATAATCTGCACAAGTGAAATTTACTTCATATACACATTCCTAAATTTTCCTACGAATTTTTAAAATAAGAAATATAAAATATTAATATGTAGCCACAAAAAGCCCTTGGGAATTTATTTCATTCAATTCTGATTTTAAAATGTTACAAATAAATAAAGCTTTCAATTCTATTGACTATTTCCATTATTTTCTGGTTATCCTGCTTGTTCTTTTTTTTCTTTTTTTCTTTTTTTTGCTTATTAGTTCTCTTAATTTCTTTTCCCAAAAAATAATATTAAAAGATTCCATAAACTGTAACTTGGCAATAATTCAGAATTTGATATAATGGTCTATCTTTAGTGCAAAGAGATTGGTTACCATTATATGGTCTCACATATAAGACAAGGCCTTGAAGAGAGCTTTTTTCCAAGGTTCTATGGTATGTATGTATGTATGTATTTAAGTAGGCTTCACAGCCAGCATGGAAACCAAGGAGGGGCTCACATTCACAACCCTGAGTTCAAGAGCTGAGCTGAGATCAAGAGTTGGATGCTTAACCAACTGAGCCACCCAGGTGTCCTGCCCCAATTGATGGTATTTATAAGCTTATAAAGAAACCACTTTAGACACTATTGCCCATCATGTTTATGTTATATGGATAATAAGATATGCTTTAAATTTTCTGTTAGCTTTAACGTTAGTAAACAGAAACTTTTTAAGAATTTGCCATCTTTGCCACATAACATACGTAAAACTAGAGGTTACTGATTCTTGTTAGTCTAACTTTGCCAGTTTAAAAACGGGGAAAAATGCCATAATTTTCAAAACTTGGGATAGAAAAGTATCCCTAGCTTTTCTTCCTTCCTCCACACCATCATCATTTTTTACTCAAAATTCATTATCAGAATACGTTTCCATTTGTAAAGGAAGACAAACACCTTGAAAAACATAGTAAGATATTTGTTATCCTTTACTTAATACTTTGATTAAAAAAGCCCCAATTTACATAGGAAATTGAAGGAAAAATGATAATATTATTATATAAATTAATTTAATGTAAAAAATGAATTATGTTGTTAGTGACATCTGTGCTTATTGAATTAGAAATGACACCGACTTTTATATATCAGGCACGGTTTTTCCAAACAATAAATGGAAGCATATGAAGTTAAAATAATGCTAAATAAGTAAAACATGTTTTTGAGAGATGCATTAGGCTTTTTCAGTAAGCGCTTAAATACTTGGTCCCCAAACAAGATTTCACCATTTTATTTAACAATTTGTGTACTCTATGCTTAAACTTGACCCAGTACCTTGGTTATTTGGTAAAAATAACTCACAATTTGGTCTTACCAATATACTAATAAAAGAGTTCACTAGTTTTTTAGGTAAATATGAAAATGACAACCACAATGCATTCTCTAGATACGAAATTTTCTTCCACTTGGTCATGTAAAAAATTTTCAAATACCAACTATTGAATATCCAACAGTTAACTTATGCTTTTATACCTCATTATGTGTATTTTATGTAACAGACATTTATCAAGTTTGTTCTATCAGAGTGTTTATTTCCAGACTCTGTCAGAGAAGATGCTGTGAAAATGAGAAATGAAGTCAAGCAAATCACAATTTAGTTGGTTTTAAGTGGCTGCCTTGTCCTCCACACTTTCAAAGTTTATCAAATGATTAAATAAATATGAACGCTAAATTCAATTACCATCAACAGGGTCATGGAAAACATTGTTCTCATCTGCAAAACTCCTGGTGCCTGAAATATTTCCATAATCAAATATCGGTCCTTCTAGCAGAGTCACTATATCTATTCGATTAATTTTTGTCAAGACCGAAGTTAAGGCATCAGCTGAAAAAGGAGAAAAGAGGGTTGAAAACCCGATTAAGTGATTTTCTTCCAGTCACCACAATATCCACACAAAGGCACGGCTTTCTTGACTCTCCTAGAGTTTATTCAGCTCCTCCTGACTGAGCTCTGCCAGGTCACCATCCAGAGGGCTCAGAAAGCCCACCATTACAGGGAAGTCATGTTAGGGTCTCAAGAATCACTTTTGAGAAGCTGTGTGTGATGACAGCAACATTCATTCCACTGTAAGATGCCGAGCAGATGGGCCTCAAAATAGCTAAACTCCATTTAGTTACAAGGAGATCTAATAAAATTTTAAACATGTTCCTCTCCTTTCAGCCTGCCAAGATAGATCACCCTCATATTTGACATTGACCATCTTAACGGCTTACTGAGGTCAGGCTGACCCTGGCAAACCCACAATAACTTACTTCCCATTGTTGTGGGTTGGCACTGGCCACGGGACAGCACCACCCCTCCCACCACCCCAGCAAAACTAAACAAAGTCAAACCTAAAAATATTAGAGACTTCTCTGCCAGCACATATGAAGCTGAATAAAATGATTTCATCCTATACCTTCTTCCTTCCTCTCCCTGTGCATCCATCCCCAGCCACAGCAGTAGCCTCAGAGTGCTTCTGACTACTACCCCACAATTTAACAGCTACAATTGTATTTTCATTTTTGATGGTCACAGAGAGAACTAAAGACAAAATGCAAAAAAAAAAAAAATTTTTTCTACTATTTGCTTTCTTAAAAAGATTCCCAAAGATAGATGTTTGGAATATCAGTGTTAAAATTAAACAAGTATAACTTTAATGACTTGCTATTACTTTATGATTACTCTGGTTTCTTAACAGTAGGCTTATCTAAAACATTGGATATATGCAGTTGTGAAAGTTAAAGTAATATAATTTCAGCATACTTGTAGCATTTTTTCCGTCTCTGGTAACCCATTTTTTTAATAACATGAAGCTCTGAGAAATTAAAGAATTTGGATTTTCCACACGTATTTGATTGATTTCATCCACTGAAAAATTCAGTTCCCTTGCCAGTTCTGTAGAAAAGAAAAAGAGTTACTAAGATTTCACATTCTACTTTTATCACATATGTTTCATAAAAGTAATGCTCAACTGCCACACAAAAAAAGAAAGGAATTTTATAGTAAAACCCAGTCCAGCCTTGAGCATTAATCTTTATATGCTTCATTTTACAGGAAGCTGTGATCACACACAGGCTGTGACTTAACTCTCTGGAGATAATTACTTAGTTACAATTAGATTCCCTCTTGAGAGATTATTTTACAAAGAATTCTTGATCTGTACAAAAAGGATGCTGCTGGATTCTCTTAAGTCATCCAAATTATTCTTCACAATTTGTGCAAACCTCACCTAAGATGGGTAGGGATACACAACTCATAAATATGGCAAAGGGGGTGCTGGTAGCATGACTTTAGGAATTCCACTTGGGAGGTTAAATGATGACTCCAGACCAGAGCGTTGTCTATGTTACGGTGTCACTTGTATAACAAATACAAGGGAAATAGCTTTGTGTCCATCTCAATGTCTATACCCATACGCTCAACCTCATTAATCAGAGTGTCTTTGGGAAGACAAGTGTGAGCATTAGTAGCTGTCTTGACAGAGGGAAACTAGGAGCCAAAGATGAGAAGGAGCCTTACTTTTCATTATATGTTTTTTGTACAGTTAAAAGAATTTCTCAGGTATGTATTATATTAAGTGATTATAGAAATAAATGGGAAACAATTCTTCCCATGGAAAGGGAATTGCTCAAGATTTTACCCTGGTTAAATATTTCTAGCATTTGGCAAAATGCAATTCAGAGGCTCAAAAAGGTCCAGATTCTTTGGTCAAGTGATTTCACTTCTGGAACTCTATCATGACTATACATTGAGTTGGACACAATGATTTATACACATGAATGTTCATCTCAGGCTTGTACCATTAGAAAACTGAAAACAATCCAAGTGTTGAACAAAAGAAGAGTTAATTAAGTTAATGCAGTGGTTTGCGAACTGTTTTGATCATGGCCTACAGTTAGAAATACATTGTATATCATGATGTTTATATAAATAAAACCAGATCTTTAAGGAGCAAAACTTAGCCTTAATACACATAATATACAGACATATCCCCCCCCATTCTATCCTATTAAAAGCAAAACAAAAGGATGTATTGATTTCATGACTCTCTAGTACACTGTGACCCAAAGTCAGAAAAACACCATTATTAAGTATGTATATTGGATCTTATTTATCCATTAAAATCAAGACCATAGAATATGTAATTTTGTAGAAACTAGGTAACCACAAATAAAAGAGCAAAAAGTTACATTGTGTATATAACATTTTAAAAGCTTTTAGACAAAAATCAAAGTACATTGAGATGTTAACAGTGGTTCTGAAGGACAGAATTAAATTTTGCTCTTCTACATGATAATTTTTCTAATAATCTTCATTGAGCATAGGTAATTCAAATTTACAAAAGTTAAATTTAAGTTTTAAGTTCTTTCAAGTCCTTTGTGCTTTAAGAAACAATACTCCTACTGTCCAACAAACCCTTATGATCCAACTGTATCCTTTGTCTAGTGACCCAGCAAAGAGCAAAGACACACTGCCACTAAGAATTTTACAACGTTATGGCTTTACAGCACATCTTCTCCTGAAATGTACCCTGATATACTAAGGACTGGATTTGTCTAAGGCAAATAATGAATAGTTATGGACATATAATACTGCACAATCAACATTTGCTCCAGTATATTCTTAGATTACAATGTCCGATGTTAAAATATAATTATTAATTTTATGTTAGCAAATATTTATACATAACAAATTGCTATTAACTCTCAACAAGCTTCCAAGGATTATGCAGACCACCTGTCTTTTCAGAGTACTACTAGGCTCCTCATTGTTAGCAGTGGGCCTGAGAGCAGGGGCTGGGTGGAAGGAGACAGGAAGGTTATTAAGTTGGGGGTGAGGGCAGAACTTAGGACATTTAAAGGAAGAAGATGTAGCTGACCTTGTTTGCCATTATCTGGTTTCATATTCTCCATTTTAATAGCATATAGATAATTGTTTCCCTGAGTATAGAATATCACTGAGGGTATACATGATGACTTAGATGTGACAATGGTTAACATTTCTATTTTAAGCTATTATATTTTGTTGCTGTTGTGTGTTAAACAAAATACACTCAACCTTAAAAACTTAAAATTTTTCTGACTCATATGAGGAGGATTTTGGGGGCCCAGTTAACATCAAAACTACAAAGCAGAATCGTTCAGTCGACACAGAATTTTATCTTCATCTTTAATGAAGTGAAATCAAACTAAATATTCATTTTCTTTTTTTTTAAATTTTTTTTTTAACGTTTTATTTATTTTTGAGACAGAGAGAGACAGAGCATGAACGGGGGAGGGGCAGAGAGAGAGGGAGACACAGAATCGGAAGCAGGCTCCAGGCTCTGAGCCATCAGCCCAGAGCCCGACGCGGGGCTCGAACTCATGGACCGCGAGATCGTGACCTGAGCCGAAGTCGGACGCTTAACCGACTGAGCCACCCAGGCGCCCCAAATATTCGTTTTCTACACACTGATCATAAACAGTTTCATTCACTTTACTGAACTCAACTATTTTTGTAGTTTGAATAGATTTATACATGTGTATCATGCTTTAAGAAATTATAATTCAAATTTTAAGCTTCTGTCATTCTCTTGTTTTCTTCTTTACGTAGTTATTGAAAATGATCCTTGTCGTCTTTTAGCAAAGTGATAAAGATTTCCTTTGAAATAAATCTTTGGGCATAAAAGTGAGTCCACTTAAAAGGAAAAAAATATCAGGTAAATGTACATACAGATAACATGTGTAGGTCATAAAAAGTGTGAAGATGACCTCATGAATGATTAAAATTTGTGAAACCGGGGCATGGATTAATTGAACTGTTGCTTAAGAGAGCTGCCCTCAGGGCATAAACCGTGTTTAAAATTTTGGATGATTTAAAAATCATAGGGATTAACTGCGTTTTTCTTTATACCAGAAAAAAAATTTACCACTAGGTAAAATGTTATCTAATATTACCAGAAATGGCAGTGTGAAGAAAGTGCCTACATTTAAGGTAAAGTGAGATGTAAATTTCTATTCTTGAGTGTATGGGCTTTGAAAAAGCTTTGAAAAACACGGTATATAAGGTATTATCGGTAATCATCTCTGGGTTGATAGAATTAGAGATGATAAAAATGTTTGCTGGTTTTTTTTTCCTTGTTGCTTGTTTCTGTTTTACATAATGAACCCCTTGTGAAAGACAAAGAAATTAAGAAACTGTATTTGTCTCACTCAGTAGTGTATACACTTACCTGTCCAACTAAGTCCCAGGTGGTCGGCTACTATTGCCATCCTGATATCTGTCCGTTCACATGGACTCTGTGGACCTACGATTTACAATTTCTTAATTAAAATAATCATCAAGAAAGACACGATACTGGAAAATGTTTTTTAGCAGTACTCAGATTTTACAGAGAGACTAATGCTAACACTGTACACTTACATGTGTCCTAGTCACCTACATGAACACTTCTCTTTTCACATGGCTCACTTGATTGTCACCTGCACCGGCCAGATGTGAGACTACATGGATGCTCAATGTGATGGAATCGAACATGCTGACGAGCTAGCTACTGGACAGCGGTTACAGAATCATTGTGTCGGTGAAAACACCATGATGGGATCTCAACATCTCTGCTTTTACTTTGACAGAATCATTATTAGTACATTAAAGGAAAAAAAAGTTGCTCATCTTGAATGACACCAATGTCTTCAGCATGCTTCCCTAGCTGTCTACAGTGTCGTTTGGTTAAAAGGGAGGAAGAAGAGTGTATAGACAGCACACACAGATGACAGTGACAGAATGAGAAACTACGGTTAAGTCACTTCACAGGCAATCACGACAGTTCATGCACTAGGGTCTACAAGTCGGAAAGTGTTTACAAACTACGCTCGCTCTCCGGGATGTGAGCAAAGAGTGCTCGAGAGACCTGACTGCCTCCGTTCTCACCAGTCCTTCTACTGCTCCTTTTCCCACTGCCGGCCTTTTCACTCTTTGATTTTAAAGGTGCTGCCTCTGTTTTCTTATCTCTAGCAGACTTCGTGGTAACTGAAGGCTGGCCACCCCGGGAAGTCTCGGACAACGACGTGTTTCTTGAGGTACTGTCTTCCTCATCGGACAACTCGGACTGCATCTTTTTGTCTTCTTCAGAGAGGCGGTCCACAAGCTTTAAGGTCTCACCACTAATTCCCTTAAAATATTCAATGGAATGTTTACATACTTCCTTAAGCTGACTCTTCCTAACTTTTACTATGGCGGTGGTGGTGGTGGTGGTGGTGGTGGTGGTGGTAGTGGTGGTGACACAGGTGGATCTTACCTTTACTGGCAACTTGGATGGAAGCTGTTTGGCCTTGCCTTTCTCTGGCTGCCCTTGCTTTTGTGTGGCACATGCTTTTCTAACTACATTATCTCTGTGTGTGTCTTTTACTGGAATTCTGGACTTTACATCTACACATGAAGAAGAAATAAGGGTTTTGGTTTTCTCAGATTGACTGACCTGCTTCATTTTACTCACTTTCATGTTTGGCATATGACTTGGTGGGCAGATATCTTTTGGTGAAGTGGCCTTTATGGGAAGTTTGGATTTTCGCCTAATCCCTATCGATTCCTTGGTCTTTGGCTGCTCTCCAAGAACTTTCTGCTTATCTCTTACACAGTGTCCTTGCAGTACCCCTGTCTTTTTTCCTGATGAGATTTTCACTGGATTAGCTTTCTCTGTGGTACAAGTGGGTGCAGAATGTTCTGTCAGAACTATATTACTTGTAATGTTATCTGTCTGTATAGTGGAAGAATCCAAATTGTTGTTGTTATTAAAGTTATCTTTCTGGAAATCATGTTTTTCCTGGGGCCTAGTGCCCATGTGGCTATTGGCTGTATTTGAAATCATTGGTATAGTTTCATTCTCTAGTCCCTGACAACTGGTCATCACAGCTTCTATCTTATCTGTCACTTCTCCAGGGCCTTCTTTCTTCATGGTCATGGTGGATGCAGAAATTCCCATTTTTATAGGCGTGCGCAACTTGGGGTCAACTTTAGAGGTGCTAGTGGCTGCTGCCGATTTCTCCAGGGAGCCACTACTGGATGTGCCTTCCTGACACTCTCCGCTGGTCGGGATGCTGGGGTTGGGTTCGACTGGAGGTGCCTCTACATTTCTCTCTAGATTGGTTTCTACAGTGGTGTCCCCTGACTGTGGCTGTGGTGTGGCAGTGACCATACTTTTATCCCCTTCCCCCTGGTCCCCTGACTTCCCTTCAGAAGTATGCTCACCAATCTGGAAAAATTGGAGCCTCTCTTCAACAAAATCCCTCTTGCTCATGTCAATTGCACCACTGCGAGTCATCTCAAACATTTTCCCTTCGTGAAATGGGAAGGGGTTAGGCTCACTAGTTGGGGTACTTTCATCAGTTGGCGTTCTGGCTGGCGTTGTATCAGGGGTTGTTGCTGGCGAGCGGTCTTCCACAGCCAGACCAAATGGCTTAGTTTCATCTTCCCGTGATTTACTGTCAAAAACTTCATCATCCCCTCGGTTATTAGACCAGGGATCAAAATCTAGACCTTTGGTAGCTACTGTTTTAAAAGGAGTGGCAAATTCTTCATCTACTTTGTAACTGAAGTAAGTATCAGGAAACACTGATCTGTCAGGATGTCTGCCTTCTAGAGTGAAAAACTGGGCCCCTGATTTCTGATCAGTCTTATCAGGGGTCCTTTCAGATGAGGAACTTTTAGAAGGTGGCTTATCTTCGTCTGGTCCCACCCTTCCCTCCTCCTCCTCGATAACTTCAAGTTTACTTTGGCTAAAGGAGCGATCAGCTGGCTTCAGAATGCCCTCTGTGTTCCAGACATCTTTCTTGATTTCCATGGTTTGACTTGGGAGTTTAGAATCACTCTCTGTCAGGCCATCATCTTCATCTTGCAGGTCATAGCCATCCAGAGAGTCGATCTCTGTGGCATCTGTGTCATGAGAAAACTCGGCCGTGGTAGCAATGGAACACTCTGTGATGGACTGGTCATTGTTCCCATTCTGGGCGGTTTCATTCTGAGGTGAATCGAGGCCAAGGCCAAATTCGTTATCTTTTCCAGATCCATTGGTTTCCAATTCTTTCTGGTTGGAAGCCTTGTCAGCAGGAGCTTTGGATTTGGTCATTTCTTTTTGTTCATCGTCTACTTCCTTTAATTTGAAGGTGTATTTTTTAACTGGGACCGGCTGATAGATGGACTCGTCATCGCTCGAATCGCTGACGTCTGCCCCGGGAGGAACTGGAGAAGGTGGCTGCACTCTGATGACCGGTTCAGCCAGCTGGTACTTGTCATGTTCATCTTGCAGACTGACTTCAATCATGTCAACCTCTCTTTCAGGGAGATAATGATGCTTCTTATCTGGCTCCATCTGGTCTGCATCCAGTGGTGGAGGAGGGGGGAACTCAATATAGGCAACTCTACTGGTTTTGGGTCTTTGGTTAGAGTCTTTGCTCGCATCGGTAGGCATTTCACGCTCCACGGTTGCTTCCTCCACCGTAGTCTGCTTTAAGGAGGCTGACTTGGCCTGTTCCTCCTCCTCAGATTCCTCAGAAACCTCAGGGATTGGGCTGGGTTTGCCTGGTATATAAGCTATGAGCGAGTCTGGTGTCTTAGACGTGAATTCATAACTCACTTCCTCTGAACTGGGTGTTTCCGGAGTTAAAGGGCTTTTCCCAGAGCTGTCTAGAAAGGAAACTTGTTCTAGAGTGTCGTCTTCTGGACTACCTTGGGGAGAAGGAGGCTGCTTCTGCTGTCTAGTTGTATAAAAGGTCCCCCTGGTCTCTTGTACTGTCTTACACTCCTGACTTATGATCTTTTTTACACTTCCTTGTTGTATCTCCTTTTCATACTGCTTCCCCACCTGTACAAAACTGACATAAACAGGTAAAGTTTTTATGTCTTTCCCTCCCTCCGTCTGGGCTAGTGGAGCAACTCTTTCCAATCCATCAAGGGGACTGTGGTCAAACACATCACTAGAGGGAGATTCCTTTCCTGGGCTAAACTCTAAGGAATCAGGAGATTTGGTGGGAGAGGTTTCAGTTTCATCGAGAGGAGGGCATAAGCCTACGTAACTCTGGCGTTTGGAAACCTTGCTGATTTCTGAATAGGTAACTTTTTCGTCTTCTATAGAATTAAAGTGCTGTGTCTCGACTGTCTCTTTACTCATACTTGATGGGGACAACTTTGGTGATAGTTCGTGTTGGGGGAATGTCGGCTGCTCGCAAAAACCGTCAGGAATATCAGAAGACAGTATTCTCCGTCCCTCTGCAGCTCTGACCGGGATGTGTGATGCTGCTGAGCTCTCACTCCTCCTGGAAGGTTGTTCCAGAGATCCACCTGGCCGTTCCCCTTCTTTCACAACATATTCCCTATATAAGACCTTTTTGGAGGGAGATTTTACAGTCATTTCCTTAATTTCTGAGAGAGACCCATTTGTTAACAACTTGTGTTCTCTCTCAGTCACAGACATAAATTCACTCCTTTGATCAACAATCTTACTCTCAGGGTGACCAGTGTGATTCTCTCTTACATCATGAACAAGTACATGTGAAAGTTTTTCTTTCTGCGACTTATTGTTAGCAGCTCCAGAACTTTCCCATGTTCTAAAGACCTTTTTGTCCCATGGTCCCTTAGTTGCTAAATCTGAGGTTACATGACATGCCAAGTCTTTAGCCTGTTGCTCAGAAAAATAGTCAGGCATTGCTTTACTTGACATTTCAGTTCTCTGTGTCTTCACATCCTCGGAGCCAGAATCATTTATGACAATTTCATTGCTTTGGACATGCTCATCTTTAGCTTTCAGGACCATAAAATCATTTTGCAGAGACACACTTTCATCTGGGAGGTCTATGGCCTTCTGCTGCTTTTCTCTAGCAAAAACTTGGTAGACAGGCAGCTTGCTCTCCTGGATTTTTTTGACTGGGATTCTGGATTGGCCCTCCGGCTTTTTGTCTTCTTGAGACATGTCCTTACTTTTTGCCTGCGCGCCTTGTTCGAATTTTAATCTAATGGAACTGAGTTTGGATTGTTTGAGCTGAAAGCCAGACTGGGGCCCTTCTGGTGCTTTGCTCTGCAAAATGCTTTCTTTGGCTTCCTCCATGGACTTGCTGTCCTCAGGCTGTTGGGAGAGACCCTTCTTCTCTGGGCTGCTCGGCAGACTGGATTCTTTCCTCTCATCAGCTTTGGGGAAGCCTTGTCCATCATGGCCATGCTGCCTTGCCTTAACCCACTCATCATTGGATGCCAACAGTTCTGTCAGCAGTACCTTCTCGGGGCTGCTACTGGTAGAGCTTTGAGAAGAGTATTCTTTACCATTTCTAGGGCGTGGCTTTTTCTCTGGGGACTGCAGTTCATCATTAAGCTTTTCGGTTTTGTCACGAAAAAACTGTGACACTTCAGTCAGTTTTTCTTCAGCTTCCTTCACAGTCCTGTCCACCCTATCTTCATATATCAACTTCTCTCTACCTCTGTCTAATCTGTCCTCAGTAAAGCGCATCCACATGGCATGTTTTGGACTACTAACATCGCCAGAATAGTGCAACACTGTTACTTTATCAAAATGCTCATCTTTAGACACTTTACCTACACCATTTTCAGACACATCTTTATAGATTTTGGAGAGAATTTCTTTTTTGGGGGCAGTGACTACTTTTTCTCTGGACCGCTTATCAGACCCCTGTAACTCTGAGCTAGGGGGTCCTGCATGGTCTGTAACCGATTCCTCGGTATCAGAGTGAGACACATCTAGCTTTTCTGACAGAAGCATTTTCTCAGCAAACCTGTAAGACTCCCCTCTTAGTTCTGACAACTCATCGTCATGGTATTCTATTGAGTGTTGACTCAAAAGCTTCAATGTTTTATAAGAGTCATCAGATATGAGTTGAGCAGAACTAGGGCGACTATCTTCTTCTTGGGACACAGGAGTGTTTACTCTGGAAGACTCCAGATAAGAAGGCAATGACTCTTCAGCAGTGAGTTCTTCTTCTTCTTGCTGACCCTGTTCCTCTGAACAAGGAAAAGCATCGTGTTTTTCTGGCAGAAAATCTTTTAGGTTAATATCTCCCCGGGATAAGTCTTTCTGATACACATACATTTCCTTTTCTGGATGCTTTTTGGTTTCTCTAATAATGACTTCAGTGGGCTCAGCTTGGTTACCTTTTTCGATGTGGACTTCTATTATACGCTCCAGTTTGGGTTTCATTTGGTTGTCCTTCTCTGCATGCTGGGCTGAGGTTTCAGCAGCAGACTTGTGAACATCTGGAGGCACTGCCGACTTATGCTCAAACAGACCTGCCAGTTCTTTGGAAGGGTCCCGCCCAGACTGAAAGGCCTTCATGATGTCATGGACTGACATGGTTTCTTCAATTCTTTCAGAGGCACCTTCACTGCCTGGTGGAGAATGATAGACCATTCTGGTGGTCGTGGTTATGTGAGTCTCTTCCTTAACACGCATGCCTTTGCTCAGAACCCGACTGTGGTCGTCTTCTTCACCGTTGGCTTTCATTTGAAATGCTTTCACTTTTTCCTTAATACTAGAGGTGGTGGGCTTTGGCTCCAGTTCTGTAAAAGTAGGTGAAGGTTTGGGTGACACCGGCTCCTCTGGTTGGCCTGGGGGAGCATCTCCAGCCGAAGGTTCATAGCTCCTGATAACATGCACCACTTCAGTTCTTGTTTCTGTAATGACAGGAGGGATGGGGACTTCATGAAAAAGTGGTTTAGGGCCAGTGCTTTCAGCACTCTGTGGGGCTGAAGGCGTTTTTTCACTTCTTGTTTCAAAGCCACTGTCAGACAAAGGGCTTTTGTCTTGGTCATGTTGAGAAAAGTCATCCGGAGACTCTAAAATAGTATCTGTTCCAAAAAAGGAATCGGCCATTTTACACAACTCTTTCTCAGAGGTGGAAGGCCTCATGGAGGCTGGAGGCATTTTGAGTTTGTGTTCCTGCAAAGCGATTGCTGGCTTCAGAATCCTTTTCTGTCTCTCTTCACCATCCTTCTTTGCATCCTCAAACTTGTACTTTAAATTTGTCAACGAACTACTCCCAATATCATTTGTTAAGTAGTCAATAACTTTGGTCAAGTTATAATCCTTCTCGGAGGCGGCTTTTGCTTTCACTTGCACTCTCTCTGGCAGAGTTGGGGAATGGATCGTGGCAGCTTGTTGTCTCGCTTCTCTTATTTCTTCCGAACTAAATTCTATCCAGTCGTCTTCGGGAGAGAGTCCTTTGTCACTCTTTGGTGATTTGGGTGGTCCTTTATTATCTACACACACATCTTTTTTAAGGATTTCACTCACTTTCACCAAGTCTTCCTTTACTTTCTCAACGATTTTGAAAGGTTCTTCATCGTCAATTCTCCCTTCTTTCGGGAGTTCGGGTTGGAATGGCTTCTCCTCAGGCACGTCTGTTTGTAGTATTGCGGTCATCCGCATGAGGTCCTCTTTCATTTCAGCCACGTCTTTTAATATCTCCTGACTGGAAGATAAAGAAGATGGTGTAGACAACTTAAGGGCAGAGGGTGCAAGGAACAAAGACGACTTAACTGGAGATGAAGTTCGATTGAAATGGGGCTGAGGACGTGTCTCCGTAGTCAATGTTTTAATGGGTGACAGCAAGGCTGCTGCTGATTTTGTAAGTGAACTAGAGTCTGGAAGTTTCTTTAATGCTGGTTCTGGCAAAACATTGACTACAGAGTATACTGGCACTGTTATTATAGATGAAGTTACAGATGAGGTAGTTGCAGATATTGACGACCCAAGGGATGTATAGAGTGCACTTGCTGAAGGAGTTCTTACAGACTGAAAAGCGGATGGTGCCGAAGAAACATATGACCTGAGTGGGGAAAATGGCATCGCTGTCGTGGTAGAAAACACTTTATCGACTGTGTCAGTGGCTGCACTAACCACAGAGCTCACAGAGTTTGTAGCCGTAGAAATTTTTTCTTGTAACGTGGCAGTGGCTTTGCATCCATTAATTAAAGTTGAAGATGACGGATATTTCAGGGGGGAAATAGATCCATTGACTAATGCTACCTCTGCATGTCCAGGCATCTGTTTCACAGGTGATGAGAGAGAGGGGGCCATTGTAACTTTAGCTGATGAAATGACATCAACTGCTGATTTCACTGGAGACACCACTGACTTTAGAGGCGAAGATATTAGCGGTGCTGCTGATGTAATAATTGACTTAAATGGCAAACTTGAGGAATACATATTAATGTTTGATTTGGGGGAGGCAGGGGGGGTCATAGTAATTGACGACCTCTCCAGAAGAGACCCCGCTGTAGTCACTGGAGAGGTTCGGGAGGAAAACGTAGAATTGGATGCCAGCCCTTTTAAAGGCGAGGACTCTGGGACTGTGGGAGCTCTAACCAGGGTACCAGAGGAAACCTGGATATTGTACGGAGATTGTGACACCACTGTTTTTATCGGTGAAGAAATTGTCCGAAAGGATCTAATCGGAGATGCCACATCACTAATGGATTTAACTGAAGATGTAGTCGACGCGCCTAATGTGGATTTGATTGGAGAAGGAGTCGAAACAGACCATATTGATTTTAACGGAGAAGCTGATGGCGTATTAGAGGAAGAGCTTGATAAGGAAGTGAAGCCTGACTTGGCTGGCCCAGGCACTGTGATCGGAGCTGTTGTCCAGGACTGGTATGGTCTTGTAGAAAAGAATGGCTTGTATGAGTAAGTGGTGGGGAGGGATCTTGTTGCTCCTGCACTCCGTTCAACTGTTTCTTAAATTTTAAAAATGAAATCAAACACAAAAATCAACAAAAATGGTTGAGAAACAGAGAGACCAGAGAAAAAAATTGGTCAGTAAACTTTGAAATATTACAAAAGCAAGTACAATTGTTTGCATGATTTAGAATGGAAGAGGCAAAACGAACAATTAAGTAAAAGAGGAAAAAAAAAACTCCACAGACATAACCAATCCAGAATTTAAAAAAATAAATAAATAAATAAACAAACAAACAGAAAACAGAGCAATGGGAAATGAAAGACAGAAAAAGCACATCGCAACCAAATAGGCCAACAATGAAAAACAGAAAACATGAGGAAAGAATTAATGATGAGAAAAGTAACCACAATGGAAAACGGTTCCCTTACTTCCTATTGACTTTCTTATGTGCTGGTTTCGAAAGATCAGCAGCCATTCTGTTTTGCCTGTATAGGTACACGTTCGTTTTGTGCAACCATATAACTTTCATTTTAGTAATTTCTAATGCTCCCTCTCCTTGAACCTTTCGGTGATACAGATTGCACCTACTCAGAACCATATCGATGTGTGCAGCTATACATTAAATATCTAGAACTCTTTTTTTAGAAAACTACTCAAGCCTATTTCATGCAGAATCCAAAGTAACTTTTATGTGACAGGCAACTGATTGCAAACCGTGAAGCCACTGGATTTTAAATCTGTATCTTCCATGCATGATTCGGTTATGCTTCACACCCATAAAAAGCCAATAAGAGCAAGAAATCTTCTGAGTTAGAACTTTAAAAGAAACAACAACGAAAAGGAATGTTTGCATTTATTTTTTCCCATGCAGCATATTCCTTTTGGTGAGGAAAAAGAAAATGTAATATGAAATGATTTAAAAATGCATGTGTACATACACACAAAGGGGGGAAAAGCGGAAAATATGGTTCATGGTTACCATAAGCAAGCAAAGCAACTGAAAACATCTTATCATGCGCATTATATCACGGCAAACAAGCCAATGAAGTAATACAATTTTTATGCCATATTATGCACAATATATAAACTTTAAAAATACTTCCACAAGAGCATTTAGAAAGAAGAGTACACTTTTTCCATGAGATGCAAAATCTTGGTACCTTTTGAGATTTTAGGAAAATATTTAATACCGCATACTGAAAATACATCTGCAACTAAATGTATCCATATCCAGTGTGATCTTCATTATGGAGAAAAGCACATTGTTTATTTTGGATATTCCACCCCCCCCCCCAATCTATCACACTTTAAATTCTCAAAAGGTATCATGGGAAAATCTAAAAAGCACAGTCGTATTTTTAACACTTCATACTTAAGTATCTGCAGTGGGATCCAGTATATATTGGTATACATATTTATTTATCAGTGGCAAAGGTACCAATTCTGGTGCCTTCCCAGAATGTTCATGGGGCTCATGGCTGCTCCAAAGAGTAGAGCAGCCGTGAGGCAAACCTACCACTAGGAAAGATGGATTTAGTACCAGCATTCATCTGGCAATGGGACAAGAAACACACAAATGAGGTAAGCACACTCACTGGGGGAGAGCAAATGCACACTTGGTCCTCTCTACTTCTACAGCTCTAACAAACAAACCGAGTTGGTCACAGAGATTTGGAATGCCTGCCAAGGCCTAATGGTCTATGTCAAAGTTGAGTACAGTTTCGCTCCCAGAAAGCACTGGTTCAGAATAATAGTGAAACGCGAAGAGGAAATGACAATCTGCTTCATCTTTTATGCTCCTCTTCATGCTGTGCCCGGGCCATTGCTACAATCCAGTCCTTGGATTAGCAGCTACTCCCACAAGGGTGAAGATTTTCATTCCTAGTGTACATTTAAATTCAAATATTCAGAACATGTCCTCTTCTAAGCTTACATATTATAATAAAGAAACGTGGAAGAACTGAGGAAAAACTCACCCGTTCATTACCCCTCCTAGTCATAATTCTCAATATTATATTGCTTAATATATTTTGGACACACCATACTGCAAATGGAAGATTTGGGGATTCTTTCACTTTAGTGACTTGGGCTCAGCCCAATGTCTCAAGAGAATTTATTTTTATAACTACCAGAAACTGGCAAAGCATCTCTCCTTCACCACTGAAGGCTGGCTCCGTCAAGCAATGTAGTCTTCTGAACCACATGTATGGTTTTAACTTTGTATGAAGTAGCCAATTTACTGATTGGTTACACATTTTATGCTTAAATGACACATATTTTGTGATGCACTTTATAACAAAGAAAATTTCTGGGAGGTTCTGGATGTCAGGCACTGAATTACACCAGATTCTTTCTTGTTTGGGAGGTTGGGGTGGGGGTGGAAGGGACAGGGTACTGAGAGAAAAGCTGCATCACTTGCAGTTCTAACACCAATTCAGAGGCCATGACATTTCCTTAGTTTTTAGTTCTTAGTCCTTTCCATTTCGCTGTTTACCACTATTATGCTCCCTTTCATAAAACAGAGAAAAGTACCTTCTTCCTTCTATCAATGTTATACCATAACCGAAGCTAACTAAAAAATAGCAACACTTGCATAAATGAAAAAAATTTAGTTGACTTAGCACAGACCTTACCTCAAACTCATATAGTCCCCCAAATACTTTAGGGACCAGAATCATATGGGAGCTCACCTGCCCAGAGGTACCTTGGACCTAAAGAAGCTGGTCATGGAGCCTGTCCAAATCTTAAGTATTTTGCCTGGGAGTCCCAACCAGCTACCCTCTGAGAGCCTTAGATTTGAGGCAAAATAGTATTCCAAAGAAAAGTTCTCAAAGAATATTTAGTCTTATTGAAAAACCATCTACTTATACACATATATTGTCCTTGCTTTGTAGAATAAGAGGAGTTAGTTTCATCCCTTATGGTTTTGGAAGGATTTAGATATTTATGCTAGAGACAAAAACTGAGATCTGGAAAAACATTTATGAGTGTGGTAGAGCTCCATTTCTCTTATGCTCCCTGTTTTGTGTCTGGATATAAAAGTTCCGCCAGTAGTCAAGGAGCTAGACTCCATAAGATTATGCTAAGACCTTTTAAGCTAAGTACTAGAGTCTTCCTGCTGCACACTGAATATGCTATGTTGGCCCACAGAAACAAGAACTCAGGAAAGGTGGGAAAAACCAAAGATGTGGCTCTTATTTGTAATTTCCAATCCTCCCTGAACTCAAGTTAACTGTGAGTAATGGGAAACAGCCAGAAATTATTCACTAACAATTATTTGTGTAAAACTCCTTTTCTGATGGATCAAACACAGTGCTATTCTCAGCACTCTTAGCTCCTGTTGATGGAGGGATTCTCTGGAGGGCTGAGGGGATAGGGGAAGATGAAGTGGGGAGGGAGATGGAATGAATGAAGATGACTGAATGGATTTATACCCTGATACTTGCAAGCCAGTTAACAATGAACCAAAACAATCACTGAAAGAAGAAAAGGGCTTAACCAGTCTAGTGAAGACTAGCCTTGGAAATGGTACTTAATAAAGATGGGTGGGGGGTGGGGGTGGTGGCGGAGAGGGAGAGAGGAAGGAGGAGATACGAATTCAATAAGCAAGTGCCTCAAGAACGTAGGAAGATACACTTCTTGCAAACTGGGAAGAAGGAGAATCAGGACTGAGGTATAATGACCTACCTATATTATGAAAAATGAGATGAAAATCAAACTTACATTATCACTTTTCTACCAACCTGCATATATAAAAATATTTTCTCTTTTGAGCTTAGATTTAAAGCAGCATTGGTGCATTATCTCCTAGGACAGTTAACAATCACAGTGAAATCACGGTTTTTAAAGACAAGTAATGAGTAGATGTTTCTAAATTTTAAAATAGGTAGGGGCTTTTTAAAAAAAACTGTTTTGAGGTTATGGTCTAAGGGTGTTTGTGCTTCACATCTTCAACTATGTACAAAGTATCAGTTACATTTCATGATAAAGTTTCCTTGCAGGCAATTTTTCTTTTGCCATTGGGCTTCCAAATGACCCCCAAATTCAATTTGTACAGAAAAAATGTCTCTTCTTACAGACATCCACATAGATTAGTAAATGTGTTAGAAAACTCACTCATTCCAGGCTCAGTCAAGTAGCTGTAGCGCTTACGTAACGCTAAAGATGCAAAGCTCTGTCGTCTATCTGCTTTCTCGGCCTAAAAAAGAAAAAAAAGAGAGAGAGACTGTGTCCAAATTCCTTGTGACCTCTGTATGGTTTTGAAACATTTTGAAGGATGGCATGTTGATGACTAGTTTATCTCTATTTTTCTTCGTATGGATTCTCCTCATGAAAATGGTAATTCCCTGTTGTGACTCTACAACCCCAGCCACTGTCTCAACCAAATTCCCATCATTTAGCAAATATAAGAGCACCAACACAGCAGACTACAGGGAACTACAAATACAAGACGAGCGTTACAGAGACTTCTGATGCTGAGCAGTAAATTTTCCCAAATCCTTCATATTTAAAACACATATATCACGATGTACACTCCCTCTATGTGAGTACATTCAAGGGAAAAGGGCACACGGCGCCTCATTCGGATTACTGCTGCTGTTTCTATATGTTCAAAGGCATAAAGTGTAGATGAGGTTAAAAAAGGTTAATGGCTTTATTAGAAATAAGATTCTATTTATTATTACTGGGGTATGAGTTTTAAAAATCCAATTATCATATAACTTGGAAAAATATTAGGAGATGCTTCATTAGGAAAAATTCATTCAAAACCAAATGGAACTACTCTACTATACCCTTAAAAATGGCCAAGATAATTTTCTTTAAATGACAAATATTTATCAGTAGCCATGGAACACATAGTTGGTATTACACAGAACAACTTGACTTATACAATAAAACTTCATATGTTACTCATAATCTTGATTTGACTGTTACACAGAGTGGATTCTAGGTGGAAATATGGAAAAATGTACATTTATACATGCCAAGCTACTACATTTAAAAATGTTTAAAGAATTTTAGTTTCTCTTTTTCAAACACTAGCGGGATCACATTCCTGAATGCCCTGGAGTGTTCTCATGTACACGTGGAGGAAGAGTAAACCATTCTTTAAGAAAACCGTACACCCTTTACCTCACTTACGCTAAGATCTGCCAACATATAATACGTTTCCCCACTTCAGCCCGCTGTAACTTCTTGTATACAGTTTCAATTTCTATTCTATCTCTGATAGAGTAAAAGCAGAAGTGTTCATATTACCTCATCATCTTGATCTGACTCTGTCTCCTTTTGGTTCCAAGAGGCATTGCAGAGACAAGGAATATTATAATGGACAGCAGGGAAAAGAATATCAGGATATGAAAAGGACTGAGTAGAAAGCACAAAATGCAAGCTGAATCAAGAGAGCAAAGCAAATCAAAAGAAGCCAACACAAAATATCAAGAACTGTACATCCACGGCAAATTAATGTGTGACATCATTTGAAAGCATAAAAATCTCTGAGCTACCAGCAGAAGCAGAAGCACCATACAGAGGACTCCATCATACAAACCATAACAACTTGACACCACGGTAACAAGACTCAATTTACACAAAGAGACTAATACAACTGGAGTTTCAGGAACTTGAATCATGTTACAAAGCATTCCTTAATTGCATACCAAGGGCCCACTTCTTCACGACCAGGGGAAGAGAGTCACAATAAACCAGTATCAAAAGATACCTTTTTATGTGCTGGCAGAGTGATATTTAAGTTGCAAACAGCTGTTTGAGGCAGTCCTTTTGTTGTCTTTGGTTCTTTCAGAAAAGACAGACGACCACAGGGCTCTTGGCTGGTGTCTCTAATCTAGAAGAATTTAGGTGGTTGACAGTTATAGAGAGGGACTTTTCTGAGGATTCCTGTCTATACAAGGATTAAACATGTTTATTTTACAGAGCCCTTCAAGAGGCAAGAAAAGTAAAGGGAAAAGATGATGGTAATAGTTACGGAACAACCACCGTGGTCACATGTAAACTCAACGGGATTTAGAATGCCAGGTTCCTAGATTAGACCCGGGATGGCTGTGTCTTCTTGTTTTACCCTGGTAATACGCTGTATAGTCTGGGTGATATACATTTTCTTCCCATCTAATAATTTCTCTTTCCCAAGGCCTCCGTTTTAGCAACAATAATAACAGCAAATAACTGTCCCATGTCCTTCTGTTCTCGGAGGAGGAAGTTTCTCCAGACTGTCCTTGGGCTCCATTAAGATGGAACTTAATTATGGGGTTTGGATTTCAGCCATTATTTGATTAATAAGCATGAATGAGATCTGATGCATTTTATTATTCTAGATTGTTTGGTCTGACAAATATTTGCTTAAACAGAAACAATCATTTAGCTGTTTAAAAGGTAAAGGCTCTTTTTCGCTAATTATAAAGATTTCCTGGCTCAAAAGTGCCCTGGGGGAGAACCTGGGCAAAATCTGACCTTGTTCCTCTGAATTCAAGTTTGGTGGGTTACTTCAAACTGGATAAATCATTAAACTTTTTTCTTTTTATTCTCTAAGAGCTCTTTCTAAAAAATATTTATTTATTTATTGAGAGAGAGAGGGAGAGAGAGAATCCTAAGCAGGCTATGCACTGCCAGAACAGAGCCTGATGTGGGGCTCAAACTCACAAATCTTGAGATCACGACCTAACCTGAAATCGAGTCAGAAGATTAACTGGCTGAGCCACCCAGGCGCTCCCCACCTTTTTTTTTTTTTTAATTCACAGAGTCTATTGGTGATTTACCTTGATGGAAAACGGCAGTCTATTTTCTTTGAAAGCATAAAAGTTAAAAACCAGCTGCTGTCCCCCTTTAGTAAGTGGGGCCAGGTTCCCATAACAATCAACATAAATAGGTTTTCCTTCCAGAACCTTTTGGAGTAAAAGAAACACATAATTTAATGTTAATTAAATTAGAAGAATTTTGAAATTTTAAGTCACATAATATTAAAAGACTGACATATTTCTATGTCACTCCTTATTAGGAAATTATTTCTATGGTGTTACTTGCCACAAAAATAACTCTTCAGGCTCACAATTCAACAATTGTGATTGGAAACCAAATCATGCACATGTATAAGACAGAATTATATATTCAATTCTATTCTAGCAACCTTAGACATGTTTGAGAAAGTGCTGACATCAATCGCATATTCATACAGACTTTGAAAGTTGGTTGTTTTTTTTTTACTCCAATACTTTTACTGAGTTTGCAAATGGAAAATCATAGTAATGTGCTAAAGACAGTGACCATAAAAATAAAACAATTCAAGTTACCACAGGGAAGCACTGACCATGATGTAGATTCATTACTACTACATTTAAACCAAGATAGCCTCATACAAAGACACATAAAACATTAGAGGATAAGTCTATAACAAATTTTTTAACCAAAAATTGAAATCAATCATGAGCTTGATATTTCTAATAAGTGCTATTTTAACCTCAAAAGACAACCCCATATCCGGGGAATGTAATAAAACAAACTTGTTATGAACAAGGTACCTCAATATCTTTGCTTCTTGCAACTTCTTCAAAATTCTCTTGCTGCTCTAAAGTTTTGTCCACTTTGTCATCTGTCATGCAGAAACAGCGCAGGGAGGATTCTACAGGATCATTCATTTTGGCAAAAACAACAAACTTGGCCATATATGGAACACATATTAGTTCTCTGTACAGCTGTGAGGCTAACCCCACAGTTTCTAAAACTTGATGGCAGTCTGCAAGCCAAAATCTGAGAAACACAGAAGTGTGAAAATGAGATGATTTTAGCGAAATCTTAAAAATAATTCATCATTAAAAAGTCAAAGCATATAAGGGAATGATACCAAAACATTAACTTGTTCATTTAAACAAACAGCAATGATGCTTACTCTGCTTACAGAAGGTCTACATTTATTATATGTTTGTTCCTTTGCTGAGGAAATGCTAAGGATTTTTTTTCTCTCTTGTCCTTCCCATAAGATTCTTATTCCCCTCGTATAATTACCCATGATGAGCCTTCCCTTCTACTCCTGCTTAAGAGTTTAATCTCTTACTTTACATTAGAAGGAATAAGGATTTTATGGAAGAAAATGGGAAAGACATGGAAATCCTATCTTTTTTCTTTGAGACTATAAAAATTAAAAACAAGTTGCTGTCTTCCTTTAGCAAAGGGGCCAGATTTCCACAACGATCAACAGAAATAGGTTTTTACAAATTGCTGAGAACTAGCAGAAGCAAGTCTAGCACCGTAGAGCTGCTTGTAAGAACTGGATAAAATGACGTACAGTAGTGAATTTTACATTTCTGAGTTAGGCCCAAGTTCACCATCAAAATTTTTAAAATTAATCATACTGGTGGTATTGAGCATAAAAACTTTTACTTTCCAAAAGTTAATAAAATTAATTCCTTAGTGCTTTTGGGAATCCTTTATTTCCATACCTGGCTGAAACATTGGTTGTAAAAGAGACACAATCCTTTATAAATGTCAGAGGTGTAGTTCCTGTGATGTCTTCCCACTGAGCAGGCGAGGTGCCTCCTGAGAGAACAAGAGCAGATAACTTGACGTCATCATGGGAGATGCCCCTTATAATATCTTCTTCACCATCCTGTTTTTCCTGCACAGCCGGAACTTGCAAAACTTCAGCAACTTTCAATTAATGGCATGCCCTAAAGGTAGTTTTCCTCTATTCTCCTTCTAGCACTAGTGCTACCTTATAGTGATCTTCTTGTAAGATATTACATTTTTTAAAGATCATTTTTCTGTTTGGCAACTAAAGAATATTTTAAACCTGGGGCAACCACAGGCTATAAAGCACATTTTGTAAGTGCAGTTTATAGGTGCAAAGATTAGATGTTCAGATAGACAATATAATTATCTTATTTTTAAATTTTTTTAAAAAATACAAGAACTATCAAGAAAGTTAAGAAGCAGCTTATTTTGTTACAAAGGAAATTGAAGAAGATATAAAGAAATGGAAAATCTTTCTGTGCTCATGGATTGGAAGAATAAATATTGTTAAAATGTCAATACAACTCAAAAGTAAATCCACATTCAGTAATCCCAATCAAAATTCACCAAATTAACTATTTTCTTCAGCTAGAACAAGCAATCCTAAATTTGTATGGAACCATGAAAGACCCTGAATAGCCAAAGTAATATTGAAGAAGAAAACCAAAGCTGGAGGCATCACAATCCCAGACTGTAGCCTCTACTACAAAGCTGTAATCATCAGACAGCATGGTGTGTGCTTTTTTTTTTCCAAAAACACACATAGACCCCACAATGGAATAGAATAGGGCTACCAAGTGGACACACAAATCTTGTAAGCCAACTAATCTTTGACAAAGGAAGAACATATCCAATGGAGGAAAAAGACAGTCTCTTTAACAATGGTGCTGGAGAACACAGTTTTAAATATGCAGAAGAATGAAACTAATTACTGTTACACCATTCACAAAAATAAACTCAAAATGGATAACAGGACCTGAATGTGAGGCAGAAACCATCAAAACCCCTAGAAGGAGAAGCAGGAAAAAAAGCACTCTGACCTCAGCCACAGCAATTTCTTGCCGACGCATCTCAAGGCAAGAATTAGAAAGCAAAAATGAACTAAGCTGGGACCTCATCAGAGATACTTCTACCTACCAAGAGAGGAAACAATCAACAAAACTAAAAACCATGACGGAATGGAAGATATCTACAAATGACATATTGGGCAAGGGCTATCAAAATCTCCCACTAAAAGTCATAAACTCCACACCCAAAAACAAACAATCCAATGAAGAAATGGTGAAGACATGAAGACGGTACTTCTCCCAAAGACATCCAGATGTGAACATTTCAATGCTCTGATCAGGAAATACAAATACGCAGAGACATCTTTAAGCCTTGTCCAGAGTGGCTAAAGAGCCCAGACACAAAATCAGGAACATATATAGACGCTGGAGGATGTGGGCTTGAGGGGGCTCCCTCTTGCTTTGCACTGTTGGTGGAATGCAAACTAGGCGCCCAGCCACTCTGAAAAACAGTGTGCTGGGAGGTTCCTCAAAAAAGGTAAAATAAGATCTTACCCAATGACAGCCATAATACTGCAGGCTTTGCCACAATGGATACAGGAATGCTGATGCATAGGGGCACTTGGCCCCAATCTTTATAGCAGCATTTTCAACTGATATAGAGATATGGGAAGAGCTTCATCCCTCATCAACTGATGAATGGATATTTGAAAGATGAGGTTTATATACAATGGAACTAGCAAGCAATGAGAAAGAATGAAATATGGCCTTTTGTAGCAACAATGTGAATGGAACAGTGTGATGCTAAGTGAAAAGTCCTTCAAACTCAGATACCAAATGACTTTTCACTCTTATGTGGATCCTAAAGAAGCACCAACAGAATACCTACATGGGGGAGGGAAGGGGAGCAGACAGAGAGGAAGGAGGCAAAAGCACAAGAAGACTCTTAAAACTGAAGAGAACAAACTGAGGGTTGATGGGGGGTGGGAGGGAGAGGTGGGTGGGTGATGGAGTATTAGGGAGGGGGCACCTTTGGGATGAGCACTGGGTGTTGTATGGAAACCAACTTGACAATAAATTTCATATATTGAAAAAAAAAATCCTGAGAATAAACTGAGGGTTGATGGGAGGTGGGAGGGAGGGGAAAGTGGGTGATGGGCACTGAGGAGGGCACCTATTGGGATGAGCACTAGGTGTTGCATGGAAACCAAGTTGCTAATAAATTTCATATTAAAAAAAAAAAAAGAAGCAGCTCATTTTGTACTGCCTAAATCATTTAATTTTCCAGTGTAAGAAGAGGAATCAGCTAGTCATAGAAACTACTCATAGAAACAAAAAAAAACAACCTATCTTAATCTAGGACTTTCTGTTAAAAATCATATTAGGATGATCAAATGATGAACTAACTCTGGAGTCCAGGTGATTATCACAACATGTGTTCTCCTGACCTTATAGCTTTAGTCTATTGGATTATATTCGTGACTTTGTGTGGTGAGAATCATGCCTTTGCACTTGCTCTTCCCTACTCCTCGTTCTCTGTGGCAGCTCTGTTTTGTCCAAAGTCTACCCAATCTCCTGTAGTCTAAAGGGTTTTGCTAGGTCCACTGCCTCTGTCTAGGTCCTTGAGAGATTATCCAACTGCTCTAGGAGATTCAATACTACCTCAATAACCTTAAAAGAGTGCAATTATTAATACTACACTTAATGGCAGGGAAAAGAATATCACTGAATTTTAAATGAGTCATGATCTCTGCATCTTTAAAGAAAGGTACAGGGATAAAAGGTACAGAGATGAGGTGACAGACAAGCAAAATGTTTTATTCTTTTCTTTTGTCCCTATGCTTATAAAGTTGGCATGGATGTTTCAAAGGCTTTATATCTTTGTACAGAATGACTGCAAATGTTAGCTAGCATCCAGGGAAGTACAGCAGCAAGTTAACCAAACCTGTAATGCTACAGAGCAGGCGCAGATTGGGCGTGGTATCTCCCTTGTACCCGTTGGACACGCCTTCTCCTGAGGGCGGGGGCACCGGGATGGTCATTGTGATAGGTTTATGGAATTTCCTTCTTCTTGGTTCCACGGTGACGATTGGGCTAAACGTTGCTTTGTTTCCAAGAATCTTTTTCACAATTTCATCTGGAACAGGCTGGGCCTAGAGACAGAGAAAGGACCTTAAATGGAAGTTAACATTTTTCTGTCATTGGAAAATTGACTTTTTAAGTGAGGAGGAAAAAGCTCAAAACAGACAACCAAAAAAAAAAAAAAGTCTTTCTTCTTAATCCTTACTATTTCAGGAGGGCACAAAAAAGAACCAAAACAACTTAACAGTGTAGCAGGAACTGGTCAGTGTGTGTATTTCCCCAGCAGAAAACAGGCAACAGGAGCTTGAGTGACAGAGAGTGAACCAAGTCTCACAGCATAGAAGCCTTTTAGTCTAACTAAAAGTAAAGGTCAGCAAATATTGAGTCTAGTGTATGTTAAACCTATGCAGGACATCCAGTAAAACATTACATGGGCAACGTGTGCCCAGGCAAAAATTGAGGTTTTTCAGAGTTAAGTAACAAAAGGGCACTTAAGATTTCAATTCTAGACTACCAAACCTAATGTCTTCCTTATGGCTTCTTTGCTATTTGGTAAAATACTCAATACCAGAGATAGCTGAAGGGAACCTGATGTCACTGAAATATAAGGTGGTGTCCTCAGTCACAAGTTACTGACGGCCTTCTCAGAGTTTAGAGTACTTGACTCTAAAAAACCTCACAAAAAGAACAGGAACTTTAAGTTAAACTATTAAAGACTATATTAATTAACACAAATTAAGTTACCTTCCTTACTATTTTCCTTTTTCAATAGGTCTAGCTGAAACAAGTAAATATAAGAAAGACCATCCTTGCCAAGATTTTCAGTTAGCCTTCCAAACCAAAACAAGTTCTAACTGGTCTGGATAAAACCCAGTGTTTATGATCTACTTAAATCAAAATGTGAAAGCTTGCAAGTTTCCTTAGTACTGATTTTCATGCTATGGCATATTATAAACCAAATCAAATACAGTTTATTTCTTTAATGGTATATTTGTTCTTTTGGTGCTCTTGTCGCACATACTGAGACCAGTAACCTATGGTTAACAAAACAATCTTTCATCAGAAACCAAGGTATACTTTCAAAAGAAAACCCTAAAATACATACCTTATTTAATAAGCCACTAAGCTCACTTTATACTTCATGAACTAGGTTACTGCTTCCCAAACCGGCCCACTGCTTTGATTAGCAATATCGCTGGGGTGAGTTACCACAACGGTCTTCTGAGCAGAGCATGGTCACACGGTCTCTACATGTGCCAAGGAAACAAGTCTTTGTGAACGTTACCTGGAGGCCCACGCGGATTCTTTTGGTTAAAGCACCCTCTGGGAATGAAGCCTGGACAAGGGGCACAGTGGTGCTGCTCAGAATCCCGCCTTCAGGGCCAATCTGGTTGCTTTCCTGCTTAATCCGTGAAACCACAGCGAAATACTGGGGGAAGTCCTTTGTGATGATCCTGCAGATACGCTTTTTCCCTAGCTCCTCTGGGCTGTCAAGTTCTGCAAGGACAAGTGAATGAAAAAGCTGTGAGAAGTCAATCTACACAATACCTGTAGATAAACTGAAGTGTAATTTCAAGAGATAATACTACTTATATCCAGTGGTCTAAACAGTTTCTATGATTGAGAGGAAGTGATAGTGACCTTAACAATATGAAGCTTTGTAAAGCCAGTATCAAGCTATTCATATATAATATTTATAGGAAAATATTTCTATGAAAGAGGAACACATATATTCAAAAACTGGCATTTACCTCATCTGAACAGAGCTCTACTCTGTAAGAAGAGATACCTCATTCTGTGATTATTTACAATAATCTGCCCTCAGCTGCCAAAGTAGGAATGAATCAGAAGAAAGTCGGGCCTCATAAGAAAGCGAATAAAGTCTAAAGTATGTCTAAAAGGCTCTAGCACTTTATTTGAAAGCCTCTTTTAAAAGATGTTTAAATTACCCAAATGATTAACGTCATCAACACCAATTTCTGTCTGCCCACAGATAACCCTCATGCATCAATCCGCCTATCCACAATGGACATATCTTCTTTCCTCCTGTGCACTGCCAAACTGACTTCTTCCTGTCTGTCCTCACTCTGGAAAAGGATTTACATTTGTCTAGCCCTGCTGTCCAATAGCGTGACTCACTTTTCTTTGTACATCACATCGAAAGGTCGAAGTCCAGCTGATCTGGTTGTGGAAATGGCTTTGCCCTGCCACCCCTGTCCGAGCCACCTCCTAGCCATCTCCCTGTCACCCGCCCCTCCTTACTACAATTCGTTCCCTACAGGGCAGCCAGATGGGTCTTCTTTGAAAAGCCGGATCTGATGCATAATGTTGGCAGGTTTAATTTAAATAAATGCTTTTTTAAATCATATGAAATAAATATTCGAGACTAGTCAAGAGTATTTTGGAAAAATAGGCTTGTGAGGAAGAATTTACTTTATAAGATTTTAATAGTTATCTAGAAGTATCAAAATAAAATTTATATGGAAAGACATATAAGAATATATATAAGATTAGATAAATAGGTGAGCGGGATAAAAACACAGAGCAAGAAATAGATTTAAATTTATATATGTATACACACATATGTGGTATATATATAAATGCATATATATCAACTTTTATGTATTATATATTATATATTTAAATGAATATATTTAAATCAAAGTCATATATTTAAACTTCAAATCAGTGGGGGAAAGATGGCTGATTTAAGATGGTACTGACATAATTGAAAATCTATTTGGCAGAACAGAGATAATTCACTATATTTTATGACATATAAATATAAATTCCAGCTGGATGAGAGACTTAACTACTTAAAAAAATTAAAATATTACCATAAAACAATCAAGAGAATATGTCTCAGCCTTAGTTAGGAGAAATTTTTATATTTAAAACTGGAAACCCAGAAGCCTAAAAGATAGTTTTGGCTATAAAAATGCAAAGTTTTCTATGGCAAAAATAGTAAGCTTAAAAGACAAAAGGAAAGGTAATAGTCACACATGGCAAATAATGGATTGATATGCTCAGTATCAATGGCAGCTACAAGTTGAGAAGAAGATGACAGACAAGCCAATTGAAAACAGCAAAATATTATAAGTAGGCAAGTCACAGAAGCTGAAAACTGGTCAGAAAAATGCATATTAAAATGTTCAAACTTGATAATTTACATGGAAATACTTATTTAAACATGATACAAAATAAATATTTGAGACTAGCCAAGAGTATTTTGGAAAAGTAGATTTGTGAGGGAGAATTTCTCTTACAAAAATTTAAAACTTATCTAGATGTATTATAATAAAACAGTTATATGGAGACCTCGCTCTCCCGCCACACCTTGCAGGGAGTGGGGGTTGGGTGGGAGAGGCTATTTCAATATGATGATCCCCAACAGCAAACACCTCTCTGAGAAGGTGGCAGTAGGGGTGAGATGCGAGGGTGCCAGGCAGGTAATGACTGACTAGTATAAAGCACAGAAAGTGAGCACAGAAGCAAGATGCGCAAAAAAAAAAAAAAAAAAAAAAAAAAAAAAAAAAAATGCAAAGTCTGCTCTTTTTTAGGGAAAACTCTAATCTGCACATCTGTATACTTTTATAAGAGAAATCTGTAGAAGAAACATTCTAGTATTAGTACTGGTCACTTCTGAGGCCTGGGAGATGGGATTGAAGGTGAGGAGCTAAGAAGGGGGTGGGGGGGTACCTTTGGGTTCACATAGCTGGGATGGTCTTGTTACAAAATAAAGGGGAAAGTCCCAAACTTCAGGGAGAGGTGTTGGTTTTGTCTTTGTTGTACTCACATAAGCCTCTGTTCATACCTCTGACACATACAGAACAGGTCCTACCATTGTTTAACTATGAACATGTCTGCCTCCTTCATCAGATACACAGGGCTGAGATCACAGCTTATTCTGAATAGAAATTTATAGAAAGGGAAGATGAATGGTTAGGTAATTGGATCGGTGACATCTTCTCATTTTACAGATTACCCACCAAACTGTGAGGTGGGAACACCAAATTGTCAAATAGGAGACAGATAGGGTCCCACTCAGATCACAAATGGAACTAGAATTTGGTCCGTGTGGTTTCCTAACCATCTGCTTCTCCTCTGCTCCATCCAAATCTAAATATTGAGTTTTTAGTGAAAGAAAATAAAAGAAAACAAAGGCAAATAATTTTTTTTAAAAAAGGTTAATATAGAAAAACAGGAAGGAACCAAAGAGCTCGCTCAGGAAAATATTCTTGGGTGGGGTGAGGGGGGGGCATTCAGTTATTCAGCAATTGACAAAACTGGATGGATAAGTTTTCCATCCAGAGAGGATATATTTCCCTTCCCATGATTTGGCTTCTTTTTGAAAGTCTGAATTCCCAGAGTTCATAATTCATGTGGCAACTGAGAAATTCTGATGATTAGTTTCAGTTGCTGTGCATCCGATCAGCTGCAGCTAAGCAGACATTGTTCACCTTGGTCTCAAATTTGTGATTATGTTCTTCAGAAATAGCCTGGGACTTCACACAGTGCGAGCAATATAAGAAGACCCCACTGTGAAATTACATCCTTCAAACAAGAAAGATTTCCTGACTCCACATGTAACAAGCTGTGTATCCTGTGAGCATGAAGTTTACTCAAGTTCAAGCTGGACATACCAGAGGCAGTGAGGCACCTTTTGGGGGACTCCGGGAAACATGCATTCTTAGCTGTGTGTGTATGTGTATGTGTGTGTGTGTGTGTGTGTGTATTGCAGGTATGTGAATGCACATTTGTGAGGAGTTAAGGGAGAGACAGCTGTATCACCCCTGGAAACTACAATAGCAATGGACTGGGAAGAATGGCCGCTTTATGTAGCAGAGGCAGCCAGGCCACACTCTGCCATATTGCCTTTGATAAAGAACGAAAGCCACCCCAAATATAAAGTGAGTGTGTCCATCTCAGATGCAGCCGATGAGCGGTAAATGGAAAAGCTCAGGTTCTTACTCCACACTCGACTTATAACATCTTTTAGGATTTGCCAGTGGTTCAGGAACACTCTGTGTTGTACCCACTCTGAAATTGACCCAATTTTTCCATCATCATTAAAACTTGCATAATTATTGACCTCCACTGTTGTATTTAAAAAAATTTTTTAACATTTTATTTATTTTTGAGACAGAGACAGAGACAGAGCATGAATGGGGAAGGGTCAGAGAGAGAGGGAGACACAGAATCTGAAACAGGCTCCAGGCTCTGAGCTGTCAGCACAGAGCCTGACGTGGGGCTCGAACTCACGGACCATGAGATCATGACCTGAGCTGAAGTCGGAAGCTTAACTGACTGAGCCACCCAGGCTCCCCTTTAACAGGTATTTTAAAGATAAGCCTTGGGGTGCTTACGTGGCTCAGTCAGCTGAGCTTCCGACTTTGGCTCAGGTCATGATCTTGTGGTTTGTGAGTTTGAGCCCTGCATTGGGTTCTCTGTCATCAGCACAGAGGCTGGGCTCTCTGTCCCCCCCACTCTCTCTCTCTCTCTCTCAAAAATAAATAAATATTAAAAAATATATAGGCCTCACACCAAAGAAACAACTACTGTGCAAATTTTGGACATCAGAATCCCCATGCACCATTCCTTAAACAGGATCATATACACATACTGCCCTCCTAAATTACTTAGATTCCCAGGCCTCTGCATGATGAAATGGAGAAAAGATATCGTTCCTTTTGAACTTTTTTTTCTGAGAATAAAACTCAATACAAAGGTGAAGACTACAAAAAATATTTAAATACTGGTTTATAAAAAGAAGCATCATCTCTAAGAGCTACAGTTGAAGGCTAGGCTATTACATGTTGGGATAGCTGCATAAGTTAGACAATAAATGATGTGCACAGTGGGTAAACATGAAGAGACAAGAGGAGGAAGTGAAAAACAGTAATATTACTATGTAATTCATATGGCCTGAAAATCGATCACAAGATCTTATTGGTCATCATATAGGACAAAGGTTAAATAAATTATGATAGATTCATACTATGGAATACAGTGCAGTATTAAAAAGAATGGGCTAGAAGTATATGTTTTAATATGTATATCTCCAAGCCATATTAAATGGAAAAGTCACCAAAAAATGTGATAACAATCGACTAATCACATCTTTACATGTTGATGTATAAATTCATATAATGTACATAAAATTTAGGGGACAGGGAAAGAGAAAAGGAAAATTATAATATATATAATAATGAGTGTATGCTTGTGTATTATTACATGGTAATAATACTAATACTAGTATTAAATAATAAAATGATATAATCAATAATATAACAGATTATTAAAATTTTAATGTGGATTCAACTCAAACACATTTTCTCTATTTCTTGCTTTAAAAAAAGGAGACTGAAACACAGTAATGAAATGATCTTAGCTGACTCGAGAGGCCTGAAAGAGGAAGGAAGTTGTCGACACACAGCAGCTGGGAAGCCCTGACTTGTGGCCATATTGTCCATCATAAGCACCTGATCACGAGGCTT